ACTTCGCTTTGAAGTGACAATGCCTACTAATGAAATAAAGCAAGCTATGAAGAAATAAGTGCTTATTGCTTGCTGTCTAAGATTTTTTTTAAATCTCCGAATTCTTTCAAATAACTGCTCAGTACTCTGGCAAATTAAACGAAAGAGCGAAACTGATCATAAAATCTCAAATGCTAGACAATGAGATGTCTTCAGTATGAATCTCTAGCTCACTGATGACCTCTGAATGGATGTTTTGGAGTTCTTTTTTTAAAGATGTCATCACTAGGAAAGCCCACTGTGCCCACTTAGGTGAAGTGGTTTCTCATCGAAGACACTAGTTCAGGATAGTGCTATACCTACCACCAACTGAAAAAGTTGGAATTTATAGAAAATCAAAACAAGTGATGATTCGGCGAAGAGACTCTTTTCAACAACAAATTTATTATCAAGCTCTACAATCGTATATATATACGTTCTAAGAAGCTATATACGGTGAGAGAATCGAATCAAAGGTGTGAATGCATACAATGATAATATTACTATGAAATGCAATAAGAAATGTCCGTGATTATAATCATAATTTAATGTCAAGTGGCAAAAAAATTGTCATATATAGAATAATTCATTGGATGGATAGAACTTGAAAAAGAGTGTGCAATCATAGGATTAGTAGACAAATCGAATAAAACAAAAACGTTACGTAATATTGTGTGAAATTTAATAGCATAGAATTTAACGTTGTAAAAAAGAAAGAACTGATTTAGAATGACAAGTGGAACAAGTGAAATAATACCGGGACAGTTCAAAGTGAGAGTACTACTAGTAACAGCTGACGCAATAAGAGAGAAACTACAAATTGAATAGACAAAATGAAAAATGAAAAAATTGGTAGAGCCAAAATATGATTAGGGATTATCATACTTTCGCATAGAGGGATTAAGACCATGAAAGTTGGAGGGGTTGAACGAACCTTTTCTGTACACAGAGATATGGCTTTTCTGTTTCGATAGTCAAAGCTTCAGCAATGCAGATGAGTCGGGTACGTAGGGATTTGGGTAAATTGCTCTTTGCCTTGTAGATGACTTTAAAGGCGGAGGCTATAGAGATAGATAGGGTGATCATTATCGACCAGATGTTCAATGATCGCGCTTCTTATTTCTTTTTATTTACAGCTTGATTTCACACTGTATTCTTGGTACAAGTATGAAATTTTAAGCATGCATATCGGTAGCCCAGATTTTGCAGGCCGACCATAGATATCAGGTGTTCGTCGGCAGGGGATCGAACCTCGGACCATGTGTATGGTCGGCGAGAGTCCTTACCACTGTGCCACCGACGCACATATTGCTCGACTTCAACCTCTAGCATGCAGGATAGTGTTCTTACACCCTCTTGGACAACACTCGAGTCGAACGACCGATATAGCTAGCTCCACACGAAAAAAAAGTTGGAATTCACGATTCACTGAATCCCACCCCAAGTGCATGAATAGTCGTCAGCAAAACCGCGCCCAGGTTCAATCCCTGTAAGGAAAGTGGATGCGCACAGCAATCCCTGCTCCATGGATTTTGAGTTCTGATCTAAATGATTCAACGTTATTCTTTAGAAACAACTGATGTCATCAATAACAATCATGCTTTCATTATTATGGAGTAAACACAGTAGTCAGACAAGGGTGCTTATTATCACCAATGAATGATATTCCTAATTGTGGTGGACTGAATGGATTATGCGTCAGACAGTGAGTGGGAAACGAGAAGACAGGGATATGCTGGACCGACCAACGTGAAGAACCTAGAAGACTTGGATTTCGCGAGTGGATAATTTGTGTTTGATATCACACAAAATCGAAGACTTACAGGCGAAAACCGACAAACTAGTCGAAGAAGCAGCCGCCGAAGACAGGACTCCAGGTGAACATAGACAAGACGGAGGTTATGAAAGTAACCAACCAACCAACAACAATAACAACAGCAATATCCAGTGCCTATCACCATCAACGGGAGACATTTGAAAGAGGTTAGTTACTTCATTCATTCACTTATCTAGCTAGGGAGCATCGTCTCAGCTACAGCCAGTCAGAACGGTCGAGGATGTCAAATCGAGCGCGAATCACCGGGAAGGCGAGAAACACATTATTCATCAACCTGAAACCAATCTGGAAATCTTCGTCACTCAGCCATCATCAACAACAACGAAATTCGGTCGGTTGGATTTTCAATACAAACAACGTCAAGTCAGTCAGTGAGTTCTTCTATACGGATCGGATGAGAAACTTGGCGCGCGGGCGGACGGAGCACAAAGAATATTTTCAACAGGCTGGCTTTTTCAGACCTTCGTCCTTCAACAACTAACTGTAAACTATCGCTCTATACTGAATGAAGATGAGATGGCCGGGCCGGAAAGAATCACCATCTATAGGAAACTATGGGAAGTAGCAAAACAAAGCAAGAAGCAATCGCCTAACAAGTATGCAGGAGAAAGTGGAGATAGATTGGAAACTCACTGAGGAGGCGGCTGGTTAACATCACGCTCTCGTCAGGCCATTGTTCGAGTGGAACCCGAAAAGGGAAGCATCGAGTGGGACGTCAGTGCGAGGGTGACATGGATGAGATGGTGCGAAGAGGAGTTGAAAGAGTATGAACTACCATGGATGCTCGTGAAAAGTACAGCAAAAGACAGAAGCAAGTGGAGACGTGGAGTTGAGGCCCTATGTTGCATTAGTAACCCAAGGGAACAATAATAATGACCTTAGAATCTGATGATGAGGTTATCGAAACGAATATTCTTTATTCAGTAAACGATCTCTGAAATTTCGAATAGACACCTTCACAGAAGAGAAATGTTGTCATGTTCATTTGAATCCCTAGTCTTATTTCGTAAGTACAACAATGACACCTGAACCTTTGCGTGCAGATGGAAGGTTATTAAATCGTTAAATATCATTTTCGTAATTCTATTGGTTGTAAGGTTTATTTATACGGTGGTTATTCATGTGAGTATGCCTATATTCTCAGTTTACTTCCTACAAAATACCATCCAGTATGTGAAGCCAGTTCCTAGCTGTGGAATAAGCCATGTGTCCTTTGATTTTGACATTGAGAAGGACGCAAATCTCAATACCACGTGTGATTACTGTGAGTACATCGATTGTGCACTGTGGTAGAATTTGATGCCATTATTTTTCTTAATTTAGAATGGTAAGCTTCTGTAATACTGTTGTACAAATAACGTATAGGAGAGGCTGGAACAACAGTGGCACTTAGATCAACCAACTCTCTCAGAGATAATTTCATATTAGATAGGTTTACTTTAAGTTATCACACAACGATGCAGTACTCACAAATGGATGATGTTTCGAGCACAAGTTACTGCTCATAATCATATCAATCATAATCAGCAATCAATTAATCGCTCATAACCGAATTATATCATATCTCTCAGAGATTAACCTTGTCGGCTTTACGACATTACGGCATTACTTAAATCTAAGGCAATAGAAATCGTAAGGAAACAAATGAGATGAGAACTTGTACACTGTGGTAAAGTGTAATTCCACTATGGGTAAAATATTATTTTGATAAAGTAATGTAGTCGCAGAAGGTCAGAGAGATGAAAGTTTGTCAGTGATACAAAGGACAAGAAGAAGAAGAAGAGAAAAAGCAAAAATCGCGATTGACATTTAAAGCGATGATGTTTATGGAGGATTTGTTGACCATATTGTAGGCCGAAGGAACACGTAGACGCTGAACAAACACCTTCTGCATACAAAGACCCGGTCTTTTGGTATTGATGGCTGCTCTTTCAGCCACGGTTATACGACGTAGTCAAGCTGTTCTTGATACATTACCGAGAACGACTGCTCTGGTTTTATTGAGTGTTCAGTATCTACCAAAAGGGCTATGACTACACTATTTACGCATGTGGTTACTCCTTGACCCATCCATGCAGGTACATGTTCACGTGTGAGCGTGGATAAAGTCCCTGTGTTGCCTGGTTGGATATTCCAGTCATCGTGAGATATTTTACTCTGATATATTTGACACTACTCGATCTTGAAATTAGCAAAGTTATTTGGTTAATATCTCCAAGATATCATTGATATATAAATGGCGGATTACGCATCATGTGGCCTCTGATTTTCTTCCTCCTAGGGAACAGTCCTCATTGAAACTCTTCCACAAGTATCGTTTGATTCATCATTTCAGAGATATGACATATTCAAAGAAGATTCACACGACCACAAATAACTCACTTTATGAAACTATGTCTTCTTCTTAACAGAGGATATTTTAAATATAAGAGTGGTCAATAGTATCGTGAAAAAACGGGAAAAAGTGTGGGATAATGCAGCTAAACAGATGTTCAACTACTTCGTTGGCGAACTCAGTGCAGTGTAATGCAAAAACGGGCAGAGAGTGGAGAGAGAGAGAGAGAGTAAATATTCATCTGTCATCTCATACGACCTGTGGTAAATCACTGAAAATATCTGTTCTACTAACATTCACCAGCAAAAGTACCTGCTGTCTGTTAATGTCTCTTGTATACGTCACAAAAATCCACGAAGCTTCGAAGATGAAATGATATCTATCATCTGGTGTCTGTCTTGAAAGGAAAGCACGTGACAAACACAAGATTGATGATGAACTGGCCTCAGTTAGACAGACACTGGAAAGTAGAAAGTACAGAACAGCCATTTCGTCTCACTATGAGACTATCCCAGTGGTGCGTACAGATTCCACTATCAGGGATCAAATCCGTAACCTCAAAGACACGAGTGGAGCGCGTTGATTATCCACCCATTCAGTAGGAAGGAATCGTACAGCCAATCAGTCCACGATATACATAGCGCGACTGCCACCTGATTTCTCAAACTAGGACGAAACATGAATTTCAGTGGTTCTCTAATTGAGGTCAGACATAATTCGCCTGATATGAAACCAGTCAAATCCCTCCTACAAAGTACCATCTGGATATATTCATTCACTGTAAAACAACCTAATAAGAATAACAAAAGCTGATATCGAAACATTATACTTTATTTCCCTGTATTTACACAAATCACTCAAGTCAACACAATGTGCCAAAATAGGTTGACGTTATGAAAAGAAAGTTTTCATAGACAGATACATTGACAAGTGACACAGGACGAAAATGCTTCAAATACCGTCAGGATTCCAACGCAATTTTCGACCGAAACAAGCATCATTCCACCATCGAGAAACATTCGGTATTGAGTGTTGCTCAAGGTGGTTGCGGACATGAGCGAATAGACACAGGAGACACTCAGGTCGAGGCATCCAGTCATCTATAACTCCGTGTTCACGCCATGCAAAGTATTCATTGTATGCAGTATCGTTGTGGTCCAGATACTTCAAATATTCAGCAAGTTTTGCAGGTGATTCAAATTCATCCACGTGGATAAATGAATGTGGAGGTGAGACACGTTTGTACTCTTCAATCGATGCACCCATAACGATGGGAACTATATTGTGACTGTGACAGATGGAGAAACAACACAAAAACAGTTAATTATCAATATTATTATTGTTGTTCGGATCAGATGAGTGAGAGCAGTCAACGCTAGACAGTGATAGAAAGACAAATGGATTAATTGAAGTACATCGGTGAAAACAAGGTGACATGGTCATTTCCTCCATATTCGGTGATGCACTACAGTCGGACTGGTCGATACATTGTTCTCAGTTCTCATATTGAGAAGTTTCATTTAGTAGGTACTTCGGTGGGATTGAGTGAGCAAGTATTCAAAATCGAAGTGACTCAGTTATTCAGCAGAATCATGCTGTTGTCCGTAATCTTACGGTGTATTGATATACATGCAAAATGTATTATGATGAGTGTAGGGAAGTCACCTCGTCTCATCTCAAAGAGAGATAGTTGGCCTACTAATTGACTACTCAACAATCAGTCAACTGTGGAGATGACTGACTGACTGACGTACTCACCAGACTTCCAGCCTCGTATTGTATCACTCCTCGTGTGAGGAATATACAAGAGACTGACCGACTGACTGACTGTTCGATGCTGTCACATTCAGTGTATTCTCTCTCCTGAATCGATTACTTCAGCTCTTCTATAATAAACCTGACGTGGCATCATAATCCACTCATCTCTCTTTCACACTCCTCGTAACTTCACTCAACACTTATGCCACTCATCAATAACCCGTATTGTGGAAATTCCTAATTTCATTTCATATAACATGGGAGAAATAAGTATTAAGAACTGTGTGTGGGTCAAGTATATATATATATATATCACCTTCATTTCACCTACCTGTAAGCATTTCTGAAAATCTTCTCTGTTACGTAATCCGGACATAAACTGTTCTCGAAGCTCAGATAGAATTTGTAGTCTTTCTCGAGAAGTTTGTAACACTCAGATTCGATAGTTCTGGGACATTGCTTTGTACCACATTTTCCATAGATATCAATCTACAGATAGAAATAGTGTGTAATTATTTACACCATGCTTTATTTTGGATGGTCAAAGCTACAGTTTGGTTTGCAATGAGCAGAAGTGAGCGAAATCGTTCTCTTCGTGTCGCTTTCACTCTGCTCAATGTGTACATTAAATGTAGTGAATAATCTGGACATAAATGAAAGTGAGTCACCGATGGACAGAACTAGGAGATTATTACCACTGTCGCTTCTTCTTCTTTGACTTTGTGAACTCTAACCATGCCTTATTTCATACCTGTGTATGCATGACAGTGAAATCCTCACAACAAATATCTGTGAAGGTCTTGTATATTGAATATTCTGATGAAAGTCTCATATCCCGCCGACTGGAAGAAGAGTTAACCAAACACTTGCTCAAGCTGGGAGGAATTACTCGAAATAAAGAAATCTTGTACGACACCCAGCCTACTGTGGGAACAGAGTTGAAGACAGCTGATATTCTACATCTAAATTTACTAAAAGTTTCAACATTGAACTTTGCACAGTTGTGTGGAGTTGACACACTCCATGTAGCACACAAAGCGAGAGAAGCGAATAAAGAGAGATAGTGAACAGAACTATGAGGTCGGTGAGATTTTGCAGTATTATGCATGAGCATCGCTGCAGAGGTGATCTCAACTGGTTTCAGACATGATGAGGAGTACACGCTTTCTAAACGTGACGTGAATGAGGTTGAAGAGAACCAGGGACAGTGATGAGTGGTAGAGAGTTGGATCGAAAATGCATCAGTATTAGGAAATGAACCTGGCAGCCTGTTCGAATTTTTCGGCCAGCTACCAAAATATCTACATTTTTCATCCAGCCTACTGTTTACCAACATTTATTTATCACCTAAATATGAATTCTAACAGAATCATTTACTCTCGTAACTTTATTAATCATCTACGACCAAATGACTTTCATATTCCAAAGAAACCAAGGAGGAAACATCGTAGTGGTTGACAGAGAGCTCTCAAACGTACACCAATACACTTAACTACGGTCCCCGTCACAATGAACACAAACTGTCGCTCTCTGCAAAACAAGATAATTTACCTACAATCCTTGATGTCCACTGACACTTATCATAATACTGCCATAATCACATACAAGAAACGTGGTTACATGAACTGTATGATGACAATCTTATCTCACTAAAGGACTTTATTTTATTTCGACAAGACCGTCAATGTTGTAATAATGAAAATGGTGGTGTCGTTGCAAATTTTATTCACTCCAAATGGTCTGTTTCTAATAATGTCTGCTTCTCCTTCTCAAATGACTTCATTGACCGTATTACTGTCAAATGTTGTTTCAAACATCTCCCCAAATATAAACAAATCTTTGTTACAAACATGTACATTTCTCCTAGTTGCTCTCCATCTGATCTATCTAATTTTGCTGATGAATTCACCATGTTTGCTGCTGACAACTTCGACAACTCTCTATCCGTTATTACTGGGGATTTCTACTCCTCGGACTGCTCTTTCCTTGAAGCACTTGGTCACACAAACATAGTCAAATTTCCCACTCGACTTGACAAAACACTCGATTTAGTTTTACTCATGACGAAGGAGTATATGACACATGTAGACGTTCACCAATACTTAACTCCGATCACTGCATTGTCCGTGTTTTACCAAAAATATACAGCAAAACGCATATTAAAGTCTTCTCACACCTGTCTATGAAAGCGCAACAAAGATGCTACACATCTGACAACTTACTCAATCTAAGATGCATTTTAAAAAAAATACTAACTGGGATTTATTCTATGAAAGTACATTAGATGACTCAATCACCAATATAATGGATTATCTCAAGTTCTGCCTCGACATATGCTGTCCCAAACAAACACTGTTCAAACGCCTCGACCGCTTCTCGTCTCCTCATCTCAAACAACTTCGCAGGCAAAAAGAAATTATATAAACGCAAAGATAAGTTAGGACTTAAAAAGATTAATGCTCAAATCAAATCTGAAATCAAAAATCTTAATGCTATCTATAACCAAACACTTTTATCATGCAAATCTCCTATCAGCATGTGGAAATTTTTCAATGAAATTACTGGCAATAAGTAAGCGATGTAATGTTTTTCCCTCTTGTGATGTTAATGCTCTTAATCTGTCTTTTATACGCTCTCCTTCTACCATAACCACTTCTAACGTTACTAATCTTGTAGCTGATAACTTCCAGGACTTTAGTACTCTCGATGTTTTGAAATGTCTTAAAACTCTTAAGCCCTCACATAGTCTTGGCCCTGATGGCATACCTGCATATGTTCTAAAACAATGTGCAGATGCTTTATGTTCTCCTCTAACTAACATCCTAAATGCTTCTTTCTCCGAAAACGTTGTACCTGTTCCATGGAAAGACATTAAAATAGTCCCTGTCCCTAAACCTGGAAATAGCAAGAACGTAAAGTTCAGACCCATTGCCATCACTTCCCCGTTTCTAAAGCTCATGGAAAAACAAGTACTTCTTAAACTCGAACCCTCCCTTAAAAGCTTCGAAGACCCCAAACAATTTGCCTACAGACAGGGTAGGAGTACTTTAGACGCTGCAGCCGTCTTACACAACAGTATCGTCTCATCATTAGATAAAAGTGCCAAATACGTCCGCTGCACGTTTCTCGACTTCACTTCTGCTTTCGACTCTGTACCTAGATGTCTCTTGCTAAATAAGCTCTCCATGACACAAACTTAGTCCTGACTCACTGACTGGTTGCATTCCTACTTTTCAAACCGTATACAAAGGCAAATCCTCATCTGCTGTGCTCACTGAAGCTGGTGTCCCCAAGGTGCTGTACTCTCCCCACTTCTCTTTGCTTTCTTTCTACATGACCTACCATCTTCAAATGACATTAATTTTGTCAAATATGCTGATGACCTAACTGTATCTTTGCCTGTCAAATGTCAAAAGGACTGCACTAAACTAAACGGCTTTTTATCAGAAGTCAGCCAATGGTCCAAGGAAAACGGTCTCACCTTAAACCCCTCCAAATGCCAAACAGTTAATTTCACCTTTAGGCATAAATCTGACCTAAACAAACTGGTTGTTAGCACTCACGAGGTGTGCAACTTTGATGCCACTGAAATGGAAACCAAGTCAGAAACTAAATACCTAGGCGTCATTCTATCTGCTGATCTTTCCTGATCGTCTCATATTTTGATGATTTCTAAGAAAATATTACCTTCTACATCAAGAAGTTAAGACATTCTGGAATACCTCAACCCAACCCTTACTCCTACAATTCGTTAACTCTTGCATTCTGCCTATTATTCTCTATTGTTCCCCCTTAGTTTTCCAGGGCTATTGAAGAAAGACTATATCTTATTATGCAGGATGTTAACAGTTGTCAACAGGGTAAGAAACGTGCCACTTAACCAGCTTGTTAATATTCTAGTCAACAGGCACATGAACTCATGTGGAAAATGGGTGAAATCCATTTTATCTAACTCACACCACCACCACCCTCTCCATTCACAACTCTCCACTTGTATGTCATCAGGCAGGACTACAAGCCTTTATGGAAAACTATATGCTCGCACTAGAAAGTACAAAACTCAACCATACGCCACTTAGCTTGTGTTCTGTGCGATAAAGAAAGCATTAGGCATGAAACCTTTAACTTATGAAATAGTCAGTAGAACAACTGGATCTCGTCTTTACAACTCACATCATTTACAGGTACAACATTTTCTTTTCTTCTTTTCCTTTTCTCTCTCTTTTTCTATTATGTGCAGCTTTATTTCTTTCTTCTGCTTAGGCCAGTAAATATCCTAGAACCTACTTTACTAGCACCTTCAAACAATCTGTTTAGTTTTGGCTTTCCTACCGACATGCTAATATATTGTTGACAAAACTAACTGAGATTTCCTTAATCTATGTAGAATTTTATTCTATTGCTAATTTACTAACAGGATGCAATACTGTAGTGAAATGGTGAAGAATTCCATTCTGTATCACAAGTACTGTTTTGGAATAAAGCTATTGTCATTTTAAAAATTAATACCCGTGTTACCAGTGGTGGTTGTCTATTTACACAATTTGCATAATTTTTCGAAGTGTGGCAAATGTGATCTGACACACTTCCTTGCGGGTCTCTGCCTTAATCTTTCAGTTATATGCAGCAGTGGAAATGGAAATCTGATCGAATCACGTACCGATGGGGCATTACGCTGAGTTTTAATCAGTATTCTATGAACTGAGAAGCTGAATTCTACTGAAATGCCACTCGAAAATATCGTTAACTTGGCAGTTTAGAACTTCCATTCCAAAACAATGACACTAAAATGTACAACATAGACGAAATAGTATTGCATGCCCTCCGTGGACACTAAGCAACTCACATTCACAAGAATTTCAAATTCTAAATCAAGTTCAGGGGAGAATCTGTTTCCAACGCATCCAATTGCAAGAAAGAAAATCGTATCAGCCCACGTGATTTTTACTACTACTAATAATAAAGTGAATTATGACGATAAACAGTCGGTTAGGCAATTTACAGAGTGGTTCATGAAGTGCATGAATCTGAATGAGGAGGTCTACAAATAATAAAATTAGTGGACAATAAAAACATGACTCAACGAGGCGCGAATTTTGATAAGACAACATTGCAAAGAAAGCGATATTGAAGTAAGTAAACACTGGTTATAAGTAAGATAATGACGGAAATTGTTGAAAGTGAAATTCGTAATAACAACCGACATGATGATGAGGCATGGGTGCAGAGATTGGATGAACATAAGGAAAATCAGACACATCCAGAGTATGACTGAGGAAAGACAGACTTCAGAATGCACGGATTAAGACCATGAGAGAAGGAGTGGTTGTGAATATGCTTCTTCTGTACACAAAGATCTGGTTTTCCTACTTCGATGATCGAAGCTTCAGTGGTACAGATGAGTCCTACAGGTGGTGAATTCAGGTGGCTAGCGTTTCCTCTGTGGAAAACTGTGAAAGAAGAGGCTGTAGAAATAAGATGTTCAGCGTCGACCGGATTCTCACAAATTGCAGTTGTAACAGGGCCTCTTCTTCTCCCATCTCTTCTTAACCACACAGGATAGTCTCCCAGCACACTCTCTGTTGGACAAATCCGTTAGGCATTCAACTCATCTGCATCACTGAAGCTTCGAATGACCGCGGGTTGTGTAAGTTCCACTCGACATAGTTCTCACCTGGTTGCGCAGTCTTTCATCTGCTCACTAATCTCATCATCTCTAGACCTCCTCACTGACATTCACACACTGCATAAACTATTCTGTAAATTACAGGACCTATTATTTTTCGTTACAATGAACAATACAATACTGTTAATAGGAATCATAAGGATATATACGACTGAACAGTTTGGGAATAAATTCGTTGAAAATGGAGACTCTTCACTGAGTCATTTACTTTTCATCTGCTGCATGCACCAATTCCAATTTTCCACTAAATTCGAATTCAGTCGTCTGTTTGTTCGAATGTGTTGATAGAAAATAAATATTTTTCACCTAAGACAATATGAAAATAATTCCACAATAAATTTCATCTCAATTATTAGCTGAATATGAAGAGAGAGGGATGGACTGATTCATGATGACTTTCTCAACACATCCGTCTTCTTATTCCAGTGGTGTTCACCTAAATGGACGGTTTGATTATGAAGCTTTCATTAGTCATCTGGAGCGGAATTTCCCAGCTAGCTCCCCATTTCCACTGGAGACAACAATCATGATTTCTCCGACTTTCTAACTTTCGCATCCACTGACACTTCTCAGAAGAGTGTCTCTGTCATCTTGAAGTGACCCATCGAGAGTGGTCATAAGCAGTATGTATGTGACTGTCATGTCAACGCCTAATGAGACCACAAAATATTCAATGAACCACATTTGCTGCAAATAATGATGATGCTACTCACCTCAAAATGCTTCGACAACTCCTCCGCATATTCCTTTCTTTGACTGCGAGCGTCGCAGTTGGTGACGAACCATGCAGCCATTTTAGTCTTCCCGATAGCATAATTACGAGAAGGCAGTGGATATCTTGTCTCCCATGAATGACTTGGGTCAAATGGCTTATAGTTGTGGTACGGCAAGAAGACTGATGAATCCCGTCGATAAGTGATTGTGTAGTTCACCTGAAAGCAGAATGATGAGCACGAGAGTTTTGTTAATTTTATATTGATTGTCTAGTGAAGGACTGGTATTATTTATGATGAAATCTTATAATAATCACAGTAATAACGAAAAACAAGTGGTGAGACTGTTTGTCACTTTCACCTCGAATCAGTGTATTCGTATTTCATGAGAAAATATACTCTGACTGGTCCAATCCATAGTGGATAACTAACACGACATTTATCCGCTAACGTTGACGTGTGAATTCAGATTGAAACATAGGGCGGGCTTCAACAACACATCTCTGTGTCTTGCCATTCTCTTCAGTCCTCTCTGATTGGTTACACGACTGTCCGGAATATTTCATCTCCTCTTTACACTGTCTCCTCCATGTTGCCCTCAGATCAACGCCCGAATTCCGCTAAGCATTCGCATTCCAATATGGGGCCAGGACATACACAGACGCTTTCATCCAAACTCAAAGAAGTTGATGACGTCATTAAAGACATCTGACAGAAAGAAAGCACAACCTCTTAACCACTTCACTTTAGGAAATTATCACAACATTTCAGCTGCATTACACCCGAACAAGTCTTGTCTCTTCAAACTGAAGTTACTCTTGATGGTGGCTATGTAATTCCTCTGATGATTTAAGAGATTCCATTGTGAGTTTCGCCGTCCCACGTATTTATATCGACCTCAAATAATATGCAGTGTGTCCTTAACTCGTCATACATTTACACTACTCACAACTCATTGCGAGATTACATGGACATATTCGCTTGTAACCGACAGTTCTTTAGATTGTCCAAGCTTCCTAACTGTACTACGAATGAGAGGGACACAGGACATACAAGTCTGTCACATTACCATAATTCAATTAACCAGTCGAATGGAAATCAATGTTTATTTCGAGCAGTTATCTCTGCTACTCATTCTAAAACTTCATAAGAACAGTAAATAATTATTCGTCTCACTCACACGGTATTTATATTATTATTTCATCCGAATGGATACAAAGTGAAGATTTGTAGATATTTCAGAAGGTTTCGCAGATGAGTATTTTATCGAAGGACCAGAAAAGTCATATAAAAGAAGTGCTAATTATTTATGTGTCAAAGTTTCACGAATTCGGAGAAACCACGGACGAGTGGAACTTCTACTTATCCACTGTCTTCAAAACTCATCATACATTATTCCACTAGGTAGTTGGATGTGATTGGCACATAGCTTTCAGACTAGGTTCGGTGTTTACTACCAGTCGTCACCGAGGTGTTCACGTCTTTTCGAAGGAAGTTGCATCACAACTCGAATTGTATCACAATTCACAGTGAGTCAATTAACCTGATGTCCACATTGTAAATGTGGCTGGCGAAATTCATCATTACGCATGAATCTTAGTCGGTTACTGCCTAAAATGTAATCAGTGCCTGGATTGAACTATCTAAGACTGGTGTTGTTGATCTGTGCGTTGATCTCATATCAACAACAGGATGATAGCTAGTAAAGTATCAGAGAAAATATTCCCACCACAGACTGCTCGAGTTATGAGAGTGAGTAAGTTGAGATGAATGTTTGAGAGAACGCTTGACACATTGCATGACATCAATTATTGAGGAGTTATAACTTACTTACTCTGTCACCCAAATCATTTGACAGTTTCACTTTATGAGGTGGCTCATGTATAAAAATAAACCACAACTGATTCGGTGGTCTTTCACCTCGAGGATAATTTTCATCTGTTAGGATGATGATATCAGCCTCTCGCCATCTGGCTCTGTCATATGACAGTTCACATTCACAAGCATAACACGAAGTGTAGTTGCTAATCGTGTTTATCGGATATTGTCCATAATGCATGATAATTTTCTTCTTCATCTGAAATGGATACAGAATAATAATATGACATATATTGAAATTAAGCTTAGCGACGAATGTTATATTTTATTCCTCATGTATTATTTGTAGTGCACACTCCACGACACGAAAATAAACTTTTGGTCAAGATTATGAGATCGGAAAACGAATCAACTGTTTACATCAACTCAATCGACGTCCAGTCTGCGTATGGTAGTGTAAGGTGGTGATCAGTGTTGATTTGATGGTGAAGCATCCAGACAACCTCGGACGCCGTTTCGCACTAATCACTTTTGCTGGTCACACACATATGCTCAGTGTCTGTTGATCAGCCACAGAGGTCGGATGAGTTCGAAAGACACTCCACCAAAATAATCTCAACTCCCGTTGCATTTAGATATATCACTCATCAGGACACATTGACAGATAACTGAGTCGTTTTCATTTGTGTCTTGTTATCAGCACTGACAAATTAGGTGGTGTGCTGATCAACCGGGTGATTAAGCATATCACGACTCTTGAGCGTGGTATGGTATGTGGCATATCAACAGAGCAAGTAGTATGCTAACTATTCATCCATACACGTATTCTGTAGTCGGATTGTGCTAATCATCAATTCACGCAACATTTCTGTTGGGAGGTCAGTGAATCAATATGCACGATGAAGTGATTCGCAGAAGGCCACATTTTGACGAAGCTTTCAAGGTGGGCATTTGATCATCGAAATCAACGGAAGTGAATAAACAGTGGGAAGAATCCATGGTTAACCACCACACATAAATACAAACCAAGATGTCGTGTTATTCAAGGTGAAACGAAGGCATTCCTAGATGCATAAATCGGAGATAAACGAGATTATTGCTCCGACCTGACAGCGACTAGTGTGCAATTCACAGTTTGACTAGATTATCATTCCTTTCATAACACATAAACGTAATACGCCTAATACTTGTGAAGTACTCCTATCGTTGTACAAATATGTCTCATTTCGCCTCATATTCACCTCCATTTTGACACGCCGTTATTGCATCCACATCATACACAATGTTGTCTACAGGCTATCATTGTTATAATTATTAGTGTTCTTCTTCGAATCCTCCATTGTCCCATCTGTTTTATCTCCTCAATGATATTGTGAATATGACATCTCCGATTTTATGCAGGACAGAAGTCTTCGTGAAAAATTCACATGACTAATAGCCTGCTGGTTATGAAAGAATTCAAACGACCTACACATTTATATCTCAGAGGATCAGACGTGGAGTATAAGCCTTGAGATATAAGCAGGAGAAAGTGGTGATACCTGTGGTTTGAAGTATCTTAACTATTTTAGTGATTCTGGATCATCTGATCTTAGTCTCCAGTTGGTGGTCGTTGTTATGCGATCTGGAGTAATCTCAGATCAAAACTCAACGGATATTCAGTGTTCTTCGATTCCTAGGCCTTATTGAAGCAGTGGACATGGCGGAATGAGACCTGATCGAAAAGACCTTCATTATCTCGTAAATATGATATGAGGATTTGGATCAGTGGCCGAGATGAATTCACAGCGATATGAGAGCTCGCTTTGTAACCAAGAGGTACTGGGTTGGAATCCCGGTAGGTGCGTACTGATGAAGAGTTGCGAACTAGGCCGACGGAACGACTGTCCAGTACTCTCAGGTTTTCCATTGGTTCTCTTGGTGATGTCGAATCATGATGAAATTCTGTAACCAATATGCTGTTTGTCAGTGGTTTGAGTGAAGACAATCCACTCACTAACCGATTACATTTCACCATGTCACACAGCCTGATGAGATGGAAATGATGCATGAAGTCATTCATCAAAATATGGTAACAATATGTACTCTGAATAAATCAACTTACGACTGACTTGCCCTCTCGTTGATAATCATACAGATTCTCCAGATATTTCTCATCAAAGTCCAGCGTCAATTTGTTCTCATGCTTTCCCATTCCCGATGAAACATATGACCATTTGGTTTTGGTAGTGTGATTCGAGTGGATAGGAAGTGGTGATAATTTTGAAGGAAGTGATTTGATATTCGTTATTGGGACAGCTGAGTCAATCTGTACAGATCGGAGAAGATTTCGTTCGATGATATAACTGAGGGACCAAAAAGTAGTGACTGTGATCATGAGAGTCAACACAACCCTTCTTCGCTTCATTTGAGCAATCATATGACTGGATGAGATGCAGTAATGAGAATGAGAATTCCACGAGTAACAGAGGTATGTGTAGTGGTTTGTGTGTTCTGGTGCGTGTTGTTACAATACCAAGAGAAGATAATACTAGAATTGAGAAGAGTACGAAGTCACAGGAAAAACAACAGTAGCAATATAAACTCAGATGGACATATCAAAAAAAACGAAGACATTCAGCGAAGTGACTCTTTTCGCCGGAGAATTCATTCACATAGCTGTACAATCGCATTTATATATAACTATCTGTGTGTGTCTGTGTGTACAGCAGGTTTGTCACGTTTAGATAATTGATCAGGTAATACAAGAATGATCCAATTTAGAAAAAACGTTAATTGGACAGCAACCAAAGTAAGATTGAGTTGGTTAGTTAGTTAGATGGTGTAATATAATTGACTAAAATGTTTCAACATAGGTCAAGGTAGCAACAGAGGTAGAGTGAAGATTATTGGCATTTAAATTAGAACTAAAGATGAGCAAATAAGTTGGAGGATGTAACATAAATGACTAGAGGTTGAGCGTCGGTCATTGCGGAAGCAATGGCAATTCACTTGCATAGTCCTCAACTCTGCAGACAGAAGAAGTTCGTCCAATCACTACACTTGCAATGGACGTAAACTTTCTTAATACCCGACAGGCAAATTCCACTCTTTCTCTCTTCTGTCTCTTCATTACTATTAGTTTGTATTTTCAATTGTAATATTTTACGTTTTCAACCCTCTTGTTCTCTAGCTCCACCCGATTTAATTTCTACACCTCATTAACCCACTGTTAATTCACTGAACGTCTTCTCTTTTTCGTATGACTCAATGGGAATGTTTAGACAGATGGACATTCCAATTTTGTTGAGGTAGGCTGAACTCCTTGTAACTTGTGTATTGTTGCTCCACTTCAATTCGGAACTAGTTGACGGTTGATGGGAAGTCAGTATGTGCGTATGTGTTATGGTGATGTGTGGTTCGTGAATAAAAGTGACGGTTTGAATCAATCTGAATGTATATTGTAAATGAAGCATCACTGATAAGACACTGAATGACGACGATTAATTCCAACATTCTCACATGATTATTAGTACATAGTTGTAAGAAATACTTGCTAATCAACTTGTGAATCTGCATTTAATGCTGATTATCATCCAGACTTGAAAGAAATATCCCATTGTATCACTGAGTATTTTTCACCAACGCTGCGCATCCTAAGATTGTGCAAATCTACTGTCATAACTACAGCTGACAAAAAGAATGTCACTCTCATTATCAATAGAGAAGATCACTACATAGAGGCCATCGAACATATTCTGTGAAGATCATACACCTTGGTGCCAGCCTACAGAATGTTTAACACTATGAAGAAAATGTGAGCAGAGATATGCAGTCTACTTTCAGACCTTCAACCAAAACGGTGAAATCCTACTTGCCTCTCAATAGCTCCTGAAATGAAGTCGACCGACAAACTAAATGGAGCCTGGAGATTCACAGAACCCATCTCCATTCAAGATATATCGTCCACTTCATTAATTCACTAACATGCACGCTGTCGAAATACACATCCAGAACACTAAAATCTCTTCAGTACATTATTCCTTCCTGCATCAAGGAGAGACAGAGGTTTAGGCGGAAAGCGATGGACATTACTATTGAAGAAGATGAAGTGATAACGAGTTTCGATGTGATTTCTCTATCCACTGGTACTCCTGTGCATGATTCACTTCATATTATGAAGTTGGAACTTGAAACCAGTGAAGCAATAATATCAGCTAAATGTTCGTTATCTATGGAGGACATTATCAAATGTTGAAAGCTTTGTTCATAGTCTATATATTTCACGTTTAAAGGCAAAGTATATTGTCAGACAAATGGAGTTGCAATCAGATCATTAGCATTTCTGGTCATAGTAAATCTTTGTATGGAAGCTCCGAGGTGAAAAGCATTGACTAATTCTATCCGTCATCCTACAGTATGACACAGATATTCAGACGGACATTTATCACCAATAAGGACGCTGGAAAAGAAAATTCCCCAAATGAGAAAAACTCCATTTCAAATTGTGTAAAGTTTACAAATGAAATCGAGTCGGAGGAAGGAAGTCAAATCCTTCTTGTCTTCTATTGTCAAAAGACAAACTGACTAAAACGTGAAATTCTCGATATATTGGGGACCGAGACATCCAAACAAATATTTGAATTTCCTATCGGAACATCGACTAACAACGGAAATCTGAGTAGCTTCAAATCTCGTAAACAGAGCTGGAAACATTATCACTGACAGTAATGATATGGAGGATGAGTTGTCGAATGCAGGAGTGATTTAAAAAAGATAATATTAGATTTTCCCGTCGACTGCTTGGAGCGAAGTGGTCACTCTCAGGTCGACATATCGAGGACTGGGTTCGATCCTCGCTGGGAACGTCGTCACTCCCTGAGGAATGTAAGCACATCCAGTTGACGAGTCCCAAATATGATGAAATGCACATCCTGGAATCCACTGCTAGTCACCATCTACCAGATAACTTCAAAGAGAACTTTTCCTTGGAAATGGTTAACTGGAGAAGGTCTTGAACAAAATTATCAATAAAAAGGGTGATAAGGAAGAGTAGAAGAAGAAGTAAGAATTTGGGTGTCGACAACTGCCACTGCATATCGGAAACGCGCGTCTGATCAACACAAAAGGCAAATTGCTCCACTTAATGTTTAATTCTACTTACAGCCTCAATATTCTTGAGAGACAACTACGACGAGTGCCAGCGATAAATTACTTAACATGATATAAAGCCACTATGTCAACAGGATTAAATGTTGAGAATGTGAGGTCAGATATATATAGGAAAAAGCAGTAGATGGGTGATGGTAACATTGAATTCGACAATGTCGAAATTCTAGGAAAAGGCTTTCATTCACATGAAAATAGGCTGATCTCTGAAGCATCACATGAACAGGAGAGAAGAGACGGAATCATCACCTATGTAGAAAGCTCTATGAAGACAAACGGACAAAACGTCAATCAGTAGTATGTTTTGAATTAAGTAAAATTATAGTGATTTTCACATATAAACTGATATGTATTCCATACAACAAAATGTCATGCGAACATTACTCGTTTCCGAATCAATTTCGACTTTCGTGTTGATCGAAAGGTGAGTTGTCACACTAGGCCATTTCAATATGCATAAACCAACTCACTCGTTCCAGTGGAACATAGAACATTGCCTCCAACATGCATTGGCTTGTAAAACACACTCGGGGACACTATACACTGAGGTAGAGAAAGGAGGATGCAGGTGTGTTCACAGATCGATAACAGTGCTTCTCGATAACTCATCAATGTCAGCTCGATTCTATCAGTGTGCGAGTCAAATTTAAACGTCACACGTAATATCAGGTGATGCAGAAATATCAAATAATAACAAATAATTTGCACAGAAATACATACAGACGAATATGAACTCGTAAAACATAACTAATCCTTACAAACCAAAACTATAGAAAGTTAATCTGATGCTCGCTAGTGACTTGCTACAGGTTGGAGTTTCCTGAGTTCTAGTGAGAAGTCGTGACCAGTGAGGTCCAATTAGATGTCACGTGTGTGGATGGATGTCCCACCAACGACAATGGTTGGGGTCGCGCTAAATCACGAATTGGTAGAAGTTAGAATTCACGAGCCATTGATTCGGGTCCCAGTGGCTGAATGGTATACGAGCTTGTCTTGTAACCGGAAGGTCCTGGGTTCTAACCGTGGTGGTGGGTGCGTACTGCCGATGATTCCCAAACTAGGATGAAACAGCAGCTGTCCAGTACTCCCTGGTTTTCAATGGTTCTCTAACTGATATCAATCCGTGATCAACTCGTAAACAAATATGAACAGATTTAAATTTCAGGAAATTCATTAAATGACATCATGAATATTTACAGTATTCTGTTGCTACAAGTATCTACCGAGAAAAGGACTCTCACGGGAGATCCCTTTAATTTATGCACAATGTCGTTAGATATTTCGACGTCCAATTGAGTCCCATTGAATCTACTAAATAAGCCACCGCTTACACAGTGACGAATTCAGCTAAATCCATTTTCCATCTCCCCATCACGTCGCCATCATCTTGAATAATTTTACAGTGATTCAGTTTGACTCCCCTCTCAGTCGAATCAACCCACCACATCCGTAGTATCATCTTTAGTCTGGAAATTCATGGAAATGTTAAACATCCCGTTTTACTAATGCCAACCATCTAGTTGTGAGACGATTGTAGAGAAATGGATAAACGGAATCTCATCATCTCGCAACATCGATCGTCTGAATGATGATGACGTATATCAAGAAATCGTCATAATAAATTGTTAGTGCATGAGTGTTAGTGCAAAATACCACCAGTAAAATATGCTCACCTAGAGTTTGAACATCCTGTCGCTGTTCATTCAATTAACAGCAGCAGTGTTGATACAGACATTTGTAAAACCAAATTATGTTTGTAAAATCTCAACGAATCTGAAGTGATCAATCCCAACGTTTTTTATATAGTTCGACAAAAGATGAGAATTCAATAAATATCAAGACCATCATCCTAATTCATACATGAATACAATTCAGTGTAGATTATGCGACCTTAGAGAACAAGAAAAAAAAGAAGAATAAACAATGAGATTGAAATTCAATTGGTCCCACACACACAACACACACATGTAACTATCCATCTCATTATCATTTTGTTTCAATTGTCTAATATCTACAATGTGTATTGGCTGAATTCTGTCCAGTGTGTGATCAGTTCTCAGTGAATCTCAGTGAATTGTTCGTTTCTTCAATGGATGATAGTCACCAATCGGTATCATTGTTTAAGTGACACTAAATAATCAATTGCTCAGTCAATATACTTATACTTATATATGTGATAAGAAAAACGACAATTAAAATGTTATAAGAGGTAGTAGAGTTGAAGTGGATAAATTATAAAATTATTAAAGATTGCTATATAAGTGAGTGGATATCAAAAGTATTTTTCTTTGCAATTGTTAAGCGTTGTGTTGATTCGATTTAGAGGGAGCGAGACTGAATCACTTTAAAAGTATTCAAGGTGATGGCGACGTGTTCGCGAAATGTAAATGGATTTAGCTGAATGCGTCACTTTGTAGGCGATAGCTTTGTCAGTAAAGTTTCTGCGATCATTTTCGAGGTTAGCATTGGAGGATATTTTTAGCTTTTTTGATAATTACTAGCTGGTTTGCTTAATAGGTTGTTCGGATGATCGAATTCAACCTTTGTCTCCAAAACCTACTCTTTATTTCCCCATTATATGTGGATAGCTGATGAAAACAATTTTTCTTAGGGGCGAAATAGATTGTAGGTTTACAAACAAACTAATTGACTTCTAACCAGTTTAACAATTTTAAAGGATATCCATTTTCAACAAGTGAATCCATCAATATTTCGTTTTCCTTGTCTATAAAATCAGCCTTGCAAATACTTTGAATCCTCGTAAATAGACATTTCACTAAGCCTCTCTTATACTGTAATGAAGAGAAGCTGTGAAAATGAAGGTATTGCCCTGTCCGAGTGGACTTTCTGTAGATTGATCGTCTTATTGAGCCATCATCTCTTCGACTCAGAAGTATGTCTAAAAATGCAAGCTGGCTGCGACTTTCTTCCTCGCATGTAAGAGTAATATGAGTCTGTACAGAGTTAAGTCTGTCTAATAGACAACTAGAATCTTCATGATCGTCGCATATCAAAATGATATTATCTGCGTATCACTTACACAAGGGAAATTTATAAATTAAATCAAGGAACAAGTCCTCAACATAAGACATGTAAACGTTCGCTAACAAATGTCCTAATGGACTCCCCATAGCAACGTCATCCACTTGTCAAAAACCTTCAAACGTGAAATGGACATTATCAGTACACGACAGTAATACATATTTCAAATAAGTTAAAGGAAAAGGGAATGAAAAAACAACTAGAAGATATATAGTCACAAAGAATATCAACAGTCTAATCAATGGTTTATTAGTAAACAAGGAATTAACATCAAATGAATACATTTTCTTATCTTTTATGTTCATATCTACAAGACAGTCAACAATTTCAAATGTATCTTTCAACGTAAACTTACATAATTCATTGCGTACTGGACTTAAAAGATCAGCTAACCATTTTTCTAATTTATGTGTAGGAGAGTGATACATTGATAGAATTGGACGTAATGAATTGTGAAAAACCAGTAGATGCATGTGTCAGACTACCACCTTCGTCTATAGCTAAACATCTAATCGAGATGAACCATAAGATTGATGTTAACTCAGCCCCTTTAAGGTCATCCATAAAAACGGTCAAGGGCGCTTACTGAAATACGCTGAGCTTATAGCTATTCATAAACTTAAGCCCCTTCCCCACACTTTGTATTCACAACAGTTTATTACTGCCTTCAACCTACCTTGGTAATCCTTATTTGATTGGATTACCAAACGTTGTGCTAATCATTCTTAAATCTTTTTTGTCACTTTGTTTAATTTAACTTTTTCACATACATCGACTTCACAAGTAAATGTGTGAGGGATCAGATTGTTCGTGATGTATGGCGCAAGTATATCACATTGCTTCTAATAACGCTCGCTGTACAAATTTATAAAAGGGACTAGTTGTTTTAAACAACGGTCACGAGTAATACGCATTTATTCATAAGTAACAAAACCGGTTATGTGTTCAGCGAAGAAATTTCTTTTCAACGACTTCATTTTCAAGCCAACTGTACAGTCGTATTTATATTACATAAAAAAAGGTTATTAAGTGGCACTCAATAATTGCTTAGTCAATGTACATATATGAGCCCACTAAAGGAAACTATTAAGAGTTTGTTTATGCATATAAGATATATATAGATGATACCTTCATTGTCTGTCTGTGAGGAAAACTCTCCAACTGCCGAACTTCTCGAAATATTTATTGGTTCTCACCCATCTTTGCTTTTCTCGGTCGAAGAAGAGTCGAGTTCCTCGTTTCACTTCCATGACGTTAAGCTAGATAGAAGAGGGAATGGAACGCTGTTTAGGTCGACTTGACGAAAGCCAACAACATTCACAGGGCAATACACTAACTTCAACAGTGGCGTACCTTTAGGGAGAAAGAGAAATCCTATTCATTCCTTATGCTCCAGAATTCGTAAAATCTGCTCTACAGAGACAATCGCTAATGATCTACTTTTTTTTTTTGATTTACAGCTTGATTCCACACTGTATTTTCGGTACAAGTATGGAATTTTCAGCATGGATATCAGTAGCCCAAATTTTGCAGGCCGACCATAGATATCAGATGTGCGTCGGTGCGGGCTCGAACCCCGACCATGTGCATGGTCGGCGAGAGTCCTAACCACTGTGCCACCTTCGATCAAATCTCCTGTTATGTACTCGTCGAGTGGTTAATAGTCCCGAAGCGGAAAGAGGGAAATTAGAAGACCACTAGGTTTACGATGATATTTGTATTTTCCAGACAAGGAAAATAAATGTCACACAAGAGTGTGAGTGAAATGGTACGTAGTGTACGAAAACGTGGGAACAATTATCCAGTACAAAAGTATTTATGAAAATGGCTAATATACATTTAAAAACTTAAAACCCTTGTGTAATTCTGTATATTATTTTGTTTCCATGTACACCTTTTGAGCACAACTCATTCATCAACATATTCATGCCATTACGTAACTCTTATTTAACAATCACTTATGACAACTCATCACTTTTGTTACTGTCCTCTTATATGAACATCCAATTCACCTGATCTTACTCCTATTTAACAATCCTTTTTGACAACTCATCACTTTTGTTGCTATCCTCTTATCAACATCCAATTCATCTGAACTTACTAATTGTATTTTCGTTCGACAAATTTATTGTCTACTAATACACATGAACCAATAAATAGCCAGTCTTAACATGATTGGTTGTAATGTCATGTGACAACAAGTTCATACACGTTTATTTAGTTAGTGGACAGACAAAAGCATACTGTCAGTTATAATGAAATAACGATCCATATACACATAGCAAAATATAATAGACTGTCAAAAACAAAAATACACATCATGTGGATACATATCATCTACTTAACAATGTGTATCTTACAAGGTTTATTGAACGTAAGTAACATGAAGAAAGAATCCAACCCTAGACAAATCATAGTGCCAAAGAAAAAGCTGTTTATGAGTTTTGCATTCAAATGGGACACCATCTGTGAATTGATTAAAAATCGTTTATCTAAATGTAATAAACGCACTCTTCCGGCAGCTGACTTCCAACCAGATTTTACTAGCCGAAATATGATTAGACAATGAATGCTTCAAGGATAGATTACCGCTTATGTCCACATCTGTGTGCGTGCATTCACTCTTTTACCTGCTCCTATGGAGCTGATTATATTAGACGTTGTAAGTGTACTCTCCGAAAATGTATAGCTGAACACTATCCGGTTTGGTTAATGTAAGGTGAAGGCAGAACTGAGAAGTCGAAGTCTATTTGTGATCACCTGTTAGAGCCTGGTCATTCAGCCCCACGTGATTCATCCTTCAAGGTTATCTACATGGCGAAATCGAATCGATCCAAACGTTTACATGTTCTTCACTTATGCATAGCCAGCTGAAGCTTTAGCTATCTATATATACACGAACAGAAACCTAAATTATGTGTTCAAAACCGTTTTTGTCCAACCGCTTTCTTTACTTTGGTCATGGTAATGTTCTTTCCAGTTTTCATTTAATTTTATCACTTGAACTCACTCCACTTCACTTCACATCTTTATTCGTATTGTAATCGTACCCTTAATTTATAAAATTTTTAAACAACGCTTAACAATTGCAAAGAAAAATACTTTTGATATCCACTCACTTATATAGCAGTCTTTAATAATTTTATAATTTATCCACTTCAACTCTACTACCTCTTATAACATTTTAATTGTCGTTTTTCTTATCACATATATAAGTATAAGTATATTGACTGAGCAATTGATTATTTAGTGTCACTTAAACAATGATACCGATTGGTGATTACCATCCATTGAAGAAACGAACAATTCACTGAGATTCACTGAGAACTGATCACACACTGGACAGAATTCAGCCAATACACATTGTAGATATTAGACAATTGAAACAAAATGATAATGAGTTGGATAGTTGCATGTGTGTTGTGTGTGTGGGACCAATTGAATTTCAATCTCATTGTTTATTCTTCTTTTTTTTCTTGTTCTCTAAGGTCGCATAATCTACACTGAATTGTATTCATGCATGCATTAGGATGATGGTCTTGATATTTATTGAATTCTCATCTTTTGTCGAACTATATAAAAAACGCTGGAATTGATCCCTTCAGATTCGTTGAGATTTTACAAACATGATTCTTTTTTACAAATGTCTGTATCAACACTGCTGGTGTTAATTGA